CAAAACCATGACAAGAGGCGCGGTGACCAAGTCGTGCTGGTACGAGCGGGGGAGATAGGGAAGGCAACTCAGTCATGCGAGGCTGATGTGTGTTCTCCGCGTGTTCAGGTGCATCTACACACAAGTGGCGGTCACCTGGCTGAGAGCCTCCAGGAGTACCAAACCATACATGTAAGTGTGCCGTGGAAACACCAGAGAACGCTTGCTCACCGTCTGCCTTCCTGTTGGGTGGTTTGTATGTCAGCTTGACGGCCTGGACGACCGGAGCCTCTTCATCATCCACGTCTGTGTTTCGGAGAGCCTCAGTAACCTGTCGGCCGCCCTGCCGCCGTCTGTGCCGAAAGCCATGGCGTCATTTCTTCCCAGCTGGCAGGCCGCGACCAATCTGCCGGGCAAGTCGGTCCTCGACACGTGGAAGACGGCCATCCTGCGCGTGGACGCTGGCAGCAGCTCCGCAAGCCAGAAGGGCGGCGTGGATATGACGTGGGAGCCGACTGAGGATGAGGGCTTCATCGGTAGCTGCGCGGACAAGACGCGTCGAGTGAGGGCGCGGCTACGTCCCGCCGACCTCTGTGAAGAGGCGGCAGCATTCCTCTCGCACCACGTCCACCCGACACGCCGTCCGCAGCCGCTGCGACTCGTCATTGCGTCCCCAGCCATATCACCTGCGGCTGATTCGGATCGTGCTGAAGACTCATCGCCATCTCTTTTTCCACGATCGTCATCAGTTGGGACTGTGGAGGGGTTCGACAGCGCCCAGACGGTGCAGTGGATGGGGCCCGCATCCGGGTCGATGGGCATGCGGCTCGGCACGTCGACGTCGTCGTTCTCCACGCCCTCGTCTGCACGTGGCTATGCCGCGCGGGAGGAGACTGAGGCCACGCCACCTAGGCCACCGCTGATGGGAGCGGTGGAAGGGGCGAGCGGTTCATGGGCGGAGGAGAGATACACTGTCAGTCCAGGCCAACAAGGTATGCATGGACATGGACAAGAGAGAGATATATCCATTTCTATTTGTTTCCTTGCCGCACAGATTCATCCTCAACGAGCTGCGTCCAAGTGTCCCGGGTCCGCTATCTCAAGGACGGCTTTCACCTCGGGCAAGTGGAGCTGCCCTGCGGCATCGGGCGCGCCACGGTGGGCGTCCCCTGTGCGGTGCGAGTCGGGGCACTGGCAGACTATCAGCTCGGAGAGGACCTCCTCAAGCTCTACTCACTCCACTGCCAGCAGCAGGTGTTGGACGGCCGGCACACGTTGCGATGTGTGTCTCTGTCCTTCCACCCGTCCATCGCCCCACGAGTGGCGTCGTCATCCGTTCTGCCACAAGGCAGAGCGACGGACCTTGCCAGCTGCCCGACGCCCGATTCATCCCTCATGCTGTGTCTCACCCCGCCTCCACGGGCATCACTCCAGACCCTCATCGAGGGCTGCCGGGGGCCTCCCGAGGGCTCTAAGCTCACGTGCTTTTGCGACGCCCTGTGGGAGTGGCACATCGACCGCGATGGACTCCCTTGCCCTGAATCCGCCAGCCATGACAACCACTTCCAGCAGCATCCAGCCGACGAGCTTCACTCATCTGCGCCGGCAACCAGCACCGGTGCATGGGCAGAGTCGCCAACACTCGGCCGCCAGAGGACGGCAGCAGCACTGCCCCCCTCACTCAGACGGGCGTGTGCGGAGGCCGGCGTGAGGGGCCTCATGAAGCTCACACCACACACCAGAAGCCTCCTGGCTGACCTGATGGACATGGCATGCGAGGTGGAGTGTCTGCGGCGGGAGGCCACGAGAGAGGCATTCAGGAATGAGGAGTGGGAGGGGGTGGTGAAGCGACTGCAGAGGTCCATGACCATCGACAACGTCCTTATGGCCGCAGCAACAGTAGACGGCAACGGCGATGCTGCCCTCAGCCCGCGACTGGACATCTTCTCACTCGACGAGGCGAAAGACGAATGGCCATCCTCCACGGCAGAGCAGCTGGGGTGTCTGCTCGTCTACTGCCTGACTGGGGGTGGCCGCATCACCGTCGATGCTCTGGCGCGGACCGCAGAAGACGGGGGGCCCTCGTGGCTGGTGCTGCGGTGCATCGGGGAGTACAGCCCGCTCGCCTACCAGCTGATTGCGGTGCTGCTCGGCCTCCCGCCCTTCACACATCTATCAGACATGGCGGGCCCGATGGACATGCAGAGCGGCACGGGCGCCACCACTCCCCTTGGCACCGGCCTCTTCCTCCACCACTCGACGGCCTCACCCGTGTCCGCTGGCGGCTTCACCATGTCCCGCTCACCCACCGATATCATGGTGGCCCCTGACGCCGTCTACCACAGCACCGTCGCATCCCCCAAACTCGACACGCAAAAGCGGCGGAGGAGCGGAGCTGTACCACCTGTCGAGCTCTGCCGGCACCATCCCCTTTTCTGGCCCTGTGTCACGCGGCTGGACTGCCTCGAGTATGTCTACACCGTCCTCTACAAAGACATGGCTGCCACATCAGCGACGGCGTCCAGTGCGTCCAGTGCTGGGCGGGCGGCGAGGCCACAAAGCGACGTGCTGCGGCAAGTGCGGGAGCGAGTGGACGACAGCTGTGACGGCGGGGGTGGCGTCATGCCCCTCGACTGGCGGCAGGTGGTGAGCCAGCACCTCTACCGCACCGTGCTCTTCATCCAGAGCCAGAAGACAGCCAAGAAGGCCTCCACGACGACAACCTTCGGCCCCCACCTGAGAGACTTTCTCCGTTTTGTGCGCAAGCTGCGCAGCCGGTGGTGGGAGATTTGTATGAGTAGTGCCCAGGCGGACCTGCAGGCCGTGCTGGCCGACCTGGGAAGATCGCCGCGGGCCATGGGCGACGGAGACAGTGACAGTGGTCTGACAATGGAGGTGTTGAGCATGAAGGAGGAGCTGCTGTGTCGGCAGGTGGAGGTAGTCAGCAAGGGGCTGCTGCCACTGCTATTCGACGTGGTCAACTCAAACACTCAACTCGCAGAGGTACGTATCTATCGGACACAAAGACCAGGGGGCGAGGAAGGACGCGCGCATTAGTTGGCGCTTTGCTTTGCGTGTACGTCCAGATTTTCTATGCGGCGTCGGCGTTCAGCAAAGTGCGGCGAGCATTTGAGGGCCCCTATCTAGTCCCCTGACTGACACATCCATGATGAATGAATGGAGTATAGACACTCAACCACCTGGCCTGACACGACTTTTTTGGCGTTCTGCGGCGGCCGTTCTGTCTGTCTGTCTGTCTGTCTGGGAGGGGGAGGGCGGGAGGGGTCTAGGTGGCGTGAGTGCGTGTGGTAGCATTACAGGAGGTTAGCAGTGGAGGGCGGGAGGGATCTGCGGGAATCGGGAGGGGCGGTAGGAAGGGTTATACATACAAATGCGTAACCTGTGTGTGTGTGTGTGTGTGTGTGTGTGTGTGCACGTCATGGCTATTTATTGGGCGGCAGGGAGGACGTAGAAATGAGATCGCAGACGGTAGGGAGATTTAAGCTGGCTAGGGACTCTCCATCTGCCCTGGCCCGCCCCGTGATTGATTGCCTGCTTGCGCCACTCTCAGACGGATGATCAGTGAGTGTACCATACCATACACACAATCCTATCCATCCTACCCTATTCTGTCTCTATTTCTCTATCTACCTGGTTGCATGTCATGTCATGCAATGGTTTTCTATGGACGGTACGTACGGTGAGAATGTATGTGTGTGTGGATCCGATCCACGCGTACGTGACGGACGGACGCTGTTGGCCGACTATCTATCTATTTATCTATCTTGATGGAACAAGCGGGAAGCCGTTTCTTGTAAGGGGGGTGAGTTCCGTGGTGGGGTGGGCGAGGGATGTAGCACAACGTACGTGACTGACTGAGTGACTGACTGATTGACTGAGTGAGTTGGTCTGCAGTTTTGAGGCCGTCATGCGGGCAGCTCTTACGTCGCGCACAGCACGGCATTGATTACATAGCGCAGGCAGGCAGGACCATCCATCATTGTATGTATGTGAGTGTCCCGAATGAAGTGTACTACTACAAACAGATATAGGCAAGGAGGTTGGCGGGGTCGGCGGGTTTTCCTCTAGGCAGACAGACACACCGGCGTACAGTAGACATACACACAGTCGACTGACAAGACAGGAAAGACAGGACAGGACAGTGGGTTGGCTCACTTTGCGACCCTGCTTGATGCTTTTTGTCGTGCGGGCCGAGCCGACGTGATGCTGTCGCTCTGCGTCCCGACCGACCCTCCCAAACATGTTGGGGGGGGGGGGGAGGGGAATTGGTACTTGACATACACACACCGATACGTACGTACGTAATGATGCATAACAAGAGACTCTCTCTCTCCCTCTGTGTGTGAATGTGTGTGTTCGTGTGTGTGTGTGGCATTTTTACTGATGCCTTTCTTCTCGTGCTTTCTCCCGTCGATTTGAGAAATCCCGCACCTATCTAGATTCATTCATTCATTGAGTCGTGCCTTCCTTCATACCATACACACCCGTTGATCCATCCATCCATCCATGTGTGTGAATCGCATCGCATCGCATCCATCCGCCCGTCCCGTCCCGTCCCTCTGCCCGTTTTGCATGCTGTTCCCGGCGTGTCGGCTGTGGTGAGTTGAGTGAGGGGCGCTTGCGTGTCTGTGGTGTGTGTGGTGTCCGCCAAGGAGTCCTGTACAACAAACACATGGGTAACCAACCAGCCATTGGTGAGGGAGGAAGTGGTCTTCTCGCGTAGAAAAGTCATAGCAGTCAGTCGAGTCAGCGGAGTAGAGTGAGCGAAGCCGTGCCGATTTTGGACATCGTGTTAGCGAGGCAGGCACTGCAGGTAGGCAGCAGAGGAGGCACGCAGGCGGTAAGGCGGTAGTGTAGCTAGCTGGGGGTGTTGTGGGTGGGTGTAGAGGGAGGGAGGGGACTAGGTAGCCAACTTTATCTGTAAGTAAATGGACAGACAACTGGACATCGATTGGAGTGGATTGGTTGTGGCGATGATTACACACTCCATCCCATGAGTGCAATGCTGTAGGTACGTTCATACGAACGATAAATAAATAAATATCTTTGTACTGTCTGTCCATCCGATCCGCTCAGATGCGAATGAACACATACGACCGACCGTCTGTCTCACCAGCCCAGCCCAGCCCGCCCCACACACACGCAGCCAAAACGCAACCAACCATTCACACACACCAATATCTCGGTGGCATCACCGCGCCCCGCAATGCCGTTCCGACGGCCAACGCTCAGCCCCCAGTGTGTCGGTCGCTCGACACACACCACACCCATCATCATCACACGAAGGAAGAACCAAAAACGAGACGCCCCAGTGGATGGAAGAAGCAATTAAGAAGCGATACATAGCGATACGTACGATGCAGATGAATGAGAGTCCGCGCAGACAGGCATACATACAGACATACAGACACACAGGCATACACACAGACACACAGACAGGCAGACCGACATACAGACAGGCCCCGCCCCGGCCGACTCTGTCAAGTCAGTCACGGTCTCACTTGACAAACGACACATACAGATCGCCCCATCCCATCCACGCAGCCACCCACCCACACGCAATACACTCAGTGTCTTAGACAAGCCACGCCTCTCTCCGACCGCTGTTTATCTAGCTGTCGATGGCGAGCACCACCAGTGACAGCGCAAGCATCCCCACTATCAGGCCCCCGATGCACCACCTCTCGGCACTCTCCCTCGCGCCCGCCGAGTTGGCCAGCTTCAGGGACGCTGGCAGCATGTGCGCAAGAGCGATGTACGCCAGCATCCCCGCAGCAATCGCAAACAGGGCGCCGTACAGACTCAGAGGCACCTGCACGTCCGCTCCCAGGGCCATGAGCACGCCGTAGGCAATCGCGGCGGCCGCGATCTCCGTGACGACGGGCACGGTGCTGACCAGGAGGGCCTTGCGGAGACCTGACGACACGTAGATGGGGGCCGCCACTGCAAAGCCTTCCAGAACGTTGTGGATGATCATGCCGACGGCCAGGGCAGCCCCTAGCGACGGGGAGAGCGCCGTTGACAGGAACACCGCTATGCCCTGTATGGCCACACAAGTACACACAGATGCATCAGAGCATCGCCATGAAGGACACGGCTGTGGCTGAGCTGACTGACCTCTGCAAGGTTGTGCAAGGCCACCGAGATGCTGGCGATGATGCCCGCTCGAGCGAGGCGGTCAATGGCACCGTCACTCGCCGCCTTGGCTGGCGGCGTGACCGACCCATCTGTTGTCACATCGGTCCTCGCCTCCATCGTCGGCACGGCTGAGAAGCCCTCTTCGTCTGCTGCTGCTGCTGCATCATTCCTGCCCGTCTCCACATCACCGTTGCTCCCCGGTTGCAGTCGGTCCTTCATCGGCACACCAGGGCATGACGGTCCGTCGTTGCTGCAACCGTTGGCCGTCGTCACATCCCTAGAGATGGAAGCGGTGGGCTTGTACCCCTCCCCGGCCTCCTGAGCCCTCCTTCGCTGCTGAGAGCCCCGCCTCCTCGCAGTGAAGCAGAGCACTATCACGTCACAGAGGGCGACCACAGCCATGCCGGCGAAGAAGGACAAGGTGGCGAAGGCGCTGCCGTTGCTGCTGACGGCCTTATCGAAGATGGAGCTGGAGTCGGCGAAGAGGGTAATGCCCAGCTGCAGCAATATGCCCCCACAGCCGCCCAGGAGGCAGCAGATTGCCGCCGACGACGCCCGAGACTTGTCAAAGTAGGCCTGCATACACAACACAAACACTTGCATCACTGTCAGTTGAGCCAATCCGCCCGTATCCATGTCAGTTGAGCCAATCCACCCGTATCCATGTTTCCTCCCTCCCCACTGCCCACCTGTCGGATGTGCGGGACGAAGACAAAGAGCAGGCCAACGAGATGCGACAAGGCCGACACTACCACCACCCCAAAAGCCAAGCCGTACCACGGCTGAGTCATCTGTTCCTGTTGCAGCTGCGCACCACCACCACCCCCACTCCCTGCTGCTGCTGCTGCTGCTGCAGACCCCAGCCCGAAGGTCTCTCCCTCTTCCGAGCCTCCCGCGTGTAGATGGCCTGCATGGGCAGCCGCCTGCCGCAGCAGAAGAGAACCGACCAACGGAAGCAGCAGCCGTACACTCATAGTGAGTGGCACACAGAGAGGTGGAGGGACACAGGAACGGCTGCAACGTCGGAATGGGCCCAAGATCTGCAGGGGTCGATGATAGCTTGCAAGCGCAGCTCTTCTGCGGGCGTGGATGCGGCAGCCCAGCAGCAGTAGCGCAAGGCCACAGCCTCTCTCTCCGTCGCCGTTTGTTGTTTGCTCTCTCACCTTCCGGAACCGCAAGCTCAAACCGTCAGGCCGCCTAGGGTGCTCCCTGAAACAGCTGCCTGCCGCAGCTCAAAAAGGGCGAGGAATCCCAGGGGAAAATGGGACGTCGTGTGTTTGAGAAGATGCGGGAGCGGAGCACATGCGTCAAGAAAGCCAAAACGCTGCAAGATGTCAACCTCCAGGTGGGTAGGTAGATCCGTCCGCAAATCTCTCTGTGGATGCCAATGTGCTTCACACAGACACGTACATGTCATGTCTGCAGGTCCTTGGCGCATTCCTGAGGCAGCTGGACGGTTCCAAGGGCAGGGCGGCCCGGCTGCTGCAGAGCGAGTCAGGCGAGGCCCTCCCACAGTGGCTGGCCGAGTACATCGACTCACACCGACATGCGCTGCACCATACACAGCTCAAGTCGCTGTGGATGATTTTGTCGAGATGGGTGCTGGAGCCCTCCTCGACTCCTGCACTCGTCGTGAGCTTCGCGGCCGTGATGATGGGAGCTCTGGTGGCGGCTGTGTGTGAGACGAACAAAGGCGGTGGGGCTGCTGACGGAGATCTGACTGCTATGGTGGACTGTGTGTCCCGTCCAGACGTCATGGAAAGGCAGGTGAGATCTGCAGAAGGATAAGCACAGATACGATACGCGGCAGATGCATCAGTCAAGTGTGTGTGTGTGTGTGTGCAGGAGTTTGAGAGTATGCCGGCGTACCTGCCCCTCCTCGACGGCCTTCTTCGGCACACGACTGGCCGCAAGATCATCATGGCCGCCATGCGGGAATCACCCTCGCGCAGAGATCAGTGGATAAATGGGCTTGTTTCATTGCTGAATGCCCAAAGGTACCCATCCATCCATGCCGCCTCTCTACACCCCAAACCATCCATCCATCCATCAAATGTCTGTCTGTGTGCCCTCCTGTGCTGTGTGCCTGCAGAACGCCTCACAAGGTGCGTTGGGACGCCGCTCGAATGTTGACTGGCCTGCTGGCGGCCTCTCAGACACCGCTGCCGCTGCGTCTGAAGGATCATGAGTGTGGCATGGGCATGGAGGGCACTCTGGCCCTGATATGTTCTGCCCTGGCTCTCGAGGCACGTGTGGGCGGCACCGTGGATGTGGACGAGTGGGCCAAGACACAGCATAGCTACGCTGTCAGCTTGGTGTGTTTATATTCTACTCAAGCAAACACACGGATAGCAGACAGGCAGCATCCGTGTGTGTGTCGGTGTGCAGGTGGATGAACTGCGTGTGCCGCTGGTGCTGCAGCAGTGGTGGAGCCAACGGACGCAACAGGTGAAGTGAACGCACAGACAGACAGACAGAAGCATCATGGATCATGGCTGCCTGGCTGCCTGGCTGAAGCGATGTATGTATGTGTTTTGGTGCGTGTTGTTCAGGGTGTGGACGCGCTGGTAGAGCTGACCCACACCGTGTGCAGCGACCCACCAGGGCCTTCATCGGCCTTCCCCCTGCACCAGCACCTCCGACACACCCTGCACGAGATCGCCATGCAGCAGCAAGATAGCGACGCTCTCACAGCGCCCATGTCCTTCCTCTCCCTGCGGCTGGCCGTCCACTGCCTCCCCCTTCTATCGCCACCGACATGCGGCCCTCTCGTCGACTTCATCCGAAGGCAGATCGGCGCTTGCTGGGATGATGGACGTGACCCCTGCCGGCCCTGCGGCTCAGGCAGCAGCATCAGCATTCTGGAGCTGGAGGAGGGTGGTGGAGACGACGGTGAGTTGTCGCTGAGCGACTGGCTGGCCGGCCTTTTGGCGGTGCTGGGGGCTGCGGCGGACACAGACACTGGGGTGCTTATCAAGGTCGAGAGTCTCGACGCGCTGCTGGCGGACATGGCTGAGACGTGGTGCGTGAAGGAGCTTCTGAGCGACCATGGCAGCTCCGTGCTCACCCTCACCACGAGGCTGATGGCCCTGCTCCCCCCCGGCACCAACACCCCACCGCCCCCCTCCCTCGCAGCCTTTGTGCGCACACTCGCCAGCAACCTTCACACCGACGACCACGCCAGCGTCACCCGTGCGGAGGGCGACAGATGCACCATGGCGTGGCGGACGGTGGCAGTGATTGCCTCTCACTACCCCCACGTGGTGATGCAGGAGTGTGGCAATGACCTGCGGGGAGCGACCAAGGCGCTCTTCTGTCCCGTCAGCGAGATGGAGGCCGGCGCGAGCAGCCCCTGTGTGGCGTGCTGCCGCTTCTGGCAGTCGCTTCCGATGGCACTCGCCCAGTGCCTGGATGAGGCAGCGGTTCGGGAGCTGGCAGATGATCTGGCCCGGTGCTTCACACAGCCAGCACACCCACTCAGACGGAGGCCACCACCAGCACCATTGTCCAGCCGCCCCCCGTTGCTGGATGTGCGGGCCGAGACCCTCGATGTCGTCGCGAGGACCCTGCTCTCCCTGATGGAGCAATCCCCCCTTGTCTCGTCCATCATCACGGCCGCACTCAGGCCCCACACACAGGACCTGCTTCCGTGGGTGCAGCGGCACGAGTGTGGCGTGGCCTGTCTGGAGCTCATGAGCCGGCTGGACCAACAGACCCTGGCGGCACATCTGCAGGGAGACAACGGCAATGCTGCTGCTGCTGCTGGTGCAGCGTCGTGTGAGGAGCTGGTGGCAAGCAGTGAGGAGGGGAGAGTCCGGGCGCTGCGCAACGCTGGGGTGGACCTTGGCAATGAGGTGCTGAGCCGACGTCGGCTTGATGACCGCCTGGCGAGCAATGCACCGAGCCACAGGTGAGCTGAGCGACACCGAGAGAGGCAGAGGAGGAAATGGCGTTCGTTCATTGGTGTGGTGTGAGTATGTATCTGTGTGGCTGTGTGTCGCTTCTGACGTGTCAGGGGTGCGTGTGGGTGCTGGTGTGTGGAGAAGGACGGTTATCTGGCCTCACTGCTGGCGGACCTGGTCTCAGATATCTGCGTCGACTGCCCGGGGGAGTGATAATTGATTAGTGAGTGACTTATTTACTGAATGGGATGGACTGAGTGCGGTGTCGTCAGATGAGATAGATGGTCGGACTGTGTGTGTGTGCGGACCTTATCAACATCGTGTACGCAACATACACACATGCACACGGAAGCCATGTCAAGTCATGTCGGTGTCGTCACACGCACACACAACTGCAGCTGGTGGCACCAGCATTGCTCATGTCCACCACGCCACGCGGGCATGTGATGTGTGCACTCTAGCGACCGACCGACCGACGCAGCCTGCCAGCCAGCCAGCCAAGCGGCTCTTCAGGCGCCATTCATTGTCTCTGCACACAAGAACCACACACAGAGAGAGAGAGAGGTGTGCACTCCCCCCCCCATGAGACAGACAGACAGACAGGCTGAGGCAGATCGCCTTCCTTACTGATCATCCTGGCCCCCTGACCATATGCATGTGCATGGTGGTGGTCCTCTTCTGTCTGCGGCGGGCCTGGCCTGCCCCGCATCGGTGTGGGGGGCCTGGCCTGGTTGCCCAGCCAGCCGTTGCTCGTGTCAACAGCACCGCCCCACAACACCTGCCAGACGCACTCACCCACTCATTATTGACTGATGTGCAGTGCCTTCATCTATTCATTGGTTCGTGCAGGCAGGCAGGCAACCACAGGGCAATGCACAAGGGCCGACACGACCTACGGTAGGTAGGTAGCTATACCTGAAAGAGGGTGCTAATGCGGCCGGTTGAGGCGTCTCGGCGGAGCACCACCTGCAGAGCATTGCAGGGAGGGAGGGAGGGAGGGAGGGATTGCTGGGGCTGTGCTGTGTGACATCCATCCATCCATCCGTCCGTGCCTCGCTGCCTCACTCACGGCGGCAGCGTCATTGGCGAATGCATTGCAGTAGTTGGACGCCGAGAAGACCGTCAGCAGACGGTTTCTCGCGAACCACTCGTAGCCGTATTTGACGCACTCGTGAGCCCTGAACACACCTCGTGACCGACATGCTTATGTGTCCACTCACTGAGCGAGGTGTCTTCTCGTGTGTGTGTGTGTGTGTGTAATGGGGCCATATCTCTGACCTGATGACCATTTTGAGTTGGTTTCGCTCGCAGAAGTCCATCACGCGATCGGGGCCGAAGCGACACGTGTTGTTGCCTCTGTCGAGATGCACACAGGGGGGACTTTGTCAGCCAGATGGGTGCACGAGTTGACGAGGGCCGGATAAATTTCTTGTGCTCACCTCTGCGATGCGATCGTGCCGAAGTGCTCCTCGCTGTCTGTGGGGTCGGACCACAGGGCGTCGAGGATGCGACGCTGCTCCAGGGACGCCGCTGCATTAGCGCACCAGACAAATGAGACGAATAAGTGCGGAATGTGGTTTGGTGTTGTGTGTGTAGGGGCGGTTGTGGTTAGTTACGGTGTAGATTGGATGGTATGGGTATGTTGATGGGCTTGCGGAGGTCCCGCAGGTCGTCAACGCTACCGATGCTGTCGCCTATGCCGCCTGCAGGTACACACACACACACTCGTCCCGATGGATCTCTGGCGCCGTTTGCTGGGCTCACTCACCGTGTATGGCGAATATCTGTCCGTCTACGAGTGCGGCGAGGGGCAGGAACTCAAACACGTCGTTAATCAACTCCCACAAACCGTCGCCAGACGCACCTAAGTTGCCGCACACACACACACACACACACACACATGTGCACAAACAAATGCAGGCAAACACATCCATCCATCCATCCATCTGTGTGTGTCTGTGTCTGTGTCTGTGTGTACCGACCGACCGACCCACCGAGTTTCCTAACGCACTCGCTCCCAAACCCATACGACTTGTTCACTGCACACACCCACACCCACACACACCCACGCACATCAGATATGAGCAAGCGTCAGCCACTGACTGAGCGTGGCTGACTCACGGATGCGGTCCTCGTGGTTGCCGCGCAGCAGGTACACCGACTCGGGATACTGCACACACGGCACGGCACGGCACGGCACGGCACGGCACAGCGCACGGGTGTGTGTCGGGGGGTGGGAGGGTGGGTGGGTGGGTGGGGGGAGGGAGGGAGCTCTTGCATGCCTGTATTTTGAGTGCAAAGAGGAGCAGCACCACCTCCAGCGAAAACGCCCCCCTGTCCACGTAGTCACCTAAACACACACACACACGCACACACACACACACACCACACACACGCATCAGCGATTCTATCCGCCTGTGCGTCTGGCCTCACCACCCACCCATTCACCCCACCACCCACCGAGGAAGAGGTAGTTGGTGGTGAGGATGTCCCCTCGGCGTCTGTCAGGCCACGCGTATGTGTTGAAGAAGGTCAGCAGGTCCGGCAGGTTGCCGTGGATGTCGCCGTACACCCGCACAGGCAGCGACAACTGCACTCTCACCACACAACACAAGACACCACACCACACCACACACAGACACAGACACAGAAATATATACCGTTCCCCCCCCCTCTCTCTGTGTCTGTCTGTGTCTGTGTGTGCCACGGAGAGAGCGCCCCGCCCCCTTAAACTACCTCTACGAGTGTGTTTTCGTGGATGAGGTGCGGCACGACCATGTCGCAGAGCATCTTGACCTCGTCGCTGGTGCAGAGGATGAAGGGGGCGCTGGCGTCCAGCGATGTCGCCCCGTCGGCCGACGCGGCCATCAGTGTGCGGACCACACGGAGGGGCAACTGTCCACCAATCCATCCACGCAGAGGGAGAGAGCGTCTTGCGTGTGGGTGTGTGTGGGGGGGTGTAGGTGTGTGGGGCGTGGTGGGCTGTGGGGTGTGTATACGTTGGTCTCGTCATGTATGGCGTCGTAGTTGCCGTCAACCTCACCTGCATCCACCAATTTCCCATCCATCCATCGTACGTACGTACGTACGTATGGCTGCCCACTGACCATAGGGATGCGACGCGCCCCGCTGCTGCTGCTGCTCCTGCTGCTGAGGGCTGCCCCGCAGCCTCACCGACTCCCGACCCATACCACCACCACCACAACCACCGTCAGAAGGCATGGTCCCAGCCACACACCGGGGAGAGGACGGGTGGTGCACCCCTCTGCAGTGCACACAACACACACATGGCATCCATTGCGGATGTTGGTGGTCTGTCGGTCTGTCTGTCTGTCTGTTTGTCTGTTGGGCGGCAGGCTCACTCGTTGGGTTGCGTCTTGGTCTCTGCTGGCTGTGGGTGTGACTGTGGGTGTGGGTGCGGGGGGGCCGTGGCCACACCACCCATCTTCTCACACACCGCTTGGGCGAAGTCCTGCACCCACAGAGCACCGAGGTATAGATAGATAGATAGAAAGATAGAAAGATAGATAGATAAATTGCACATTCCTATGCGATGCCTGCTGTGCTGTGCTGTGCTGTGTGCCCCCCTCGCTGAGCTGAGCCCCACCTTTGCGAATCTGAAGAGCATTGGAGTGCCATTGATGTTGCGCTGCTCCACCATGCGATAGAAGTCTGAGTACGTCAGATCCCCGCCGTGGTGGCTGTGAAGGGTGGCCGCACACGCCGATGCCTTCTGCACCGCATCCATGCACCCAACCACACGACACTTGACACTTGGATTGATGGATGGATGGATGGACACACAGAGGATCCTTGCCTGTGTGTCATGCGACCCCTTGACGGCGTAGAGGTCGGTGATGAGTGCGGCGAGTTCGTCTTTGTCGAGTCTGCCGTCGAGGTTGGCGTCATAGTTCTGGAACAACAGCTGCAGACGCAGCTGCGAATACGGCTCCGACAAGTCCCTCTGCACCCACACCCAGCCAGACATCCATCCATGACCCGAGAAAGGTCATTTGCAGTGTGTGGCGACACCCACCCACCTGTACCTGTGCAGTGTGTGGCGACATCGCGATGCAGCCGGCCAGGAAATCTACCTCCTGCACACAGACACACACACAGACACACACATCCATCCATCCATCCATCCATCCAGCAGGCCCCCCCTTCGGATCGATCTGTGTGCATATATACGGATATCTGTCCGTCTTTGTTGCGGTCGATAAACGCGAAGGCCCTGGCGGCCCCGCCAGGCTCCCCAGGGTGGACTGATTTGCTGCCGCTCATGCATTGGGGGTAGTCGGCGATGAGGTCCTCAAACTCAGCGCACGTCATCTGCGCATCCCCGCTACGGCCAGACTTCGCACGCCATGCGCACAGGCACCTGCAGTGCATTCATTGTGCGTTGAATTCATTGTGCACACACAGACACATACACTTTTCTTCGCTTGTTAACTACCTACCGACCATTCTCTGTTTTCCTCCCAGTTGAGCCGCTCGACGCTCTGGCGCAGCAGAAGGGCTGCATGCAAACAAACCACACACAGGGGAAGCATCTCTCCTCCTTCGAGGATGCAGTTAACCCAACGATGGATGGATGCGGGTGGTGTGTCATGCCATGCTTACTGTGGCTCTTCCAGTTGCCCCATTCCTGCTGGTTGAAGGTGCCGGGCTGCAGCCAGTTGCGCTGCACCGTCACCTGCGGAGCTCCTCCTATGCCATCAGTGCCGACGGACGACGGTGACTTGAGCGACGCCATGTGAAGTGAAGGTCGGCTGCACTGCGCCGGTCATGTGGCTACGTCTGCCATCCTCTCCGCTATCACCTCAATTGTGCGAAGGACCACTGCGAGCTCAAATGACGCAGATAGATGAGATGAGTTCCCACCGTGGATCTTCGTCTGGCCGCGGTGCTGGTGGTGGTGCAGCTCCGCCAGTGGACGACGGCATCTCGACGAGGACGTCTGACGAGCAGAAAGCCATCGAGGACATCTGTGTGGCCCTCTTCAGGAACTTCATCAACACCGACAACCAAGTTGGAGGAACCACCTTGTGAGTTCTGTGAGTGAGGCCACGGGGTTTGTTGCAAGAGAGAGGCGATTCCCATGGCCGGTGTGCCTGCGTGTGCCTGTGTGGTGCATGTGTGTCAGCATCCGTCTGCACCGCGACCGTCTGCTGCCGTGCCTTATGGAGGGGCTCACGCGGCTGCCGGCGTGCATGAGCGGCCTCGACGCCTCCCGGGGCTGGTTCGTCTTTTGGATCACACACTCACTGGAGCTCCTCAACTATCAACTCGATGACGCCACCAAACGGAAGTCAGTAAAGTAACCATCACATCAGTCAGCAAGGAGGGCGCCTGTGTGTCCATCGTCCGTCAGGCATTGTGTTTGGGTTTGTGTTTGTGTGTGTCATGCAGTGTGGTGTCGTTCCTGGCACGGTGTCAGCACCCTGATGGGGGCTTTGGCGGCGGGCCAGGTCAGCTGGCGCACCTCGCGCCCACATACGCCTGTGTGGCCGCACTCATGGTCATCGGCGGGGAGGAAGCTTACAGATGTGTGGACAGGTGCAGGACGGTGGGTGGGTGGGGCGGGGCATTCTCACGGCAGGGGATGGCAGGGGAGAGAGAGAGAGAGTGGATGGGTGTGTGTATGTATGTATGTGTGTCAGGGGTCGTCTGTATTCCTTTCTGATGCGTGTCAAGAATGTCCAGAGGGGGGGGTTCGACCTGCACGAGGGAGGGGAGAGCGACATGAGGTACCTACCTACCGATGTGCTCTGCTCACAACACACACACATCAGATAGCTATTCATTGCATCTTCATTCATTCAGGGGTGTGTACTGCGCCATAGCGACCGCCTCGATGCTGCACTTGCTAACTGACGAGCTCGTCGACGGCATACCCCAACACATCGCAGCGTAAGCAGCACAATGGGCCCCCACATCCATCCATCTATCCATTCCATGTACACACACACACATACGGGGATCTGGTCTGTGGACGCGTGTGTGTGTGTGTGTGTGTGGCAGTTGCCAGCGTTGGGACGGCGGGATAGCGTCGGAGCCAGGTTCCGAGTCGCACGGTGGCTACACCTACTGCGGCCTGGCCGCACTCACCATTCTCGGACAGGCTCAGCACCTCAACCTGCACAGACTACTGGTGCGTGGGGCCCGATCCAATCCAATCCACCGGGGATGGGATCTGTTTGCTTTGCCAACATTTTCCTCATCTGCATGTCCGTGTGTGTGTGTGTGTGTGTGTGTGTGTGCAGGATTGGGCGTGTCACCGGCAGATGAGCGTCGAAGGGGGCTTCCAGGTCACAAATTTAATTCACTCACACACGGGGGAAAGAAAGGCCACAGACGCCGGTGCGATTCTGGATCTGATGTGCATTTCCAGGGCCGGACCAACAAGCTGGTGGACTCGTGCTACTCGTTCTGGCTGGTCAGTCAGTCAGGCAGACAGACAGACAGAAAGGCGGACCGAATGAATGCATAGCCATGCTCGCACAGACACGGCATCCATCTTCTGTCAGGGTGGCATCCTTCCCGTGGTCCACGAGGCGTTGAGGCAGGTGTGTATGTCCTATGCACCACACCACACCCCAGCACAGCACATCACATCACCACTCACTCATCCACCCGTTCGTTCGTTCATCCATGTGTTGGTTGGTTGACTGGTTCGGTCAATGGTCAGTGTGGGGAGTATGTGCCTCCGTCGCACTATTGGATAAGCCCTATGGCCCTACAGGTCGGTCGGTGCGTACAGACACCTGCCTGCAGACACAAGCAAGACACACATGCGGCTGTTGTCTGTGTGTGTGTGTGTGTCACTCACTGATGGTTGTGTTGACCAGTTTTATGTCTTCCTGTGCTGTCAAGACCCCCGGGGGCTCCTCAGAGACAAACCTGGCAAGTAAGCTGAGCTGATCGACACGACAGACAGTCTTGCCCAGCCTGGGCATGGGCATGCAGTCACTCACATACGCCATGCCACCCACGCCCACCTGTCCCTTTCTGTCTGTCTGTCTGTCTGTCTGTCTGCAGGCCTCCAGACTTCTACCACACCGCCTATGCCCTCAGTGGCACCTCACTCAGCCAGGTACCCTGCCTGCATGCCTGCCTGCATACCAGCCTACCTCCCATGTCTCTGTGGCTCCGTCAGCACGGCCCCTCCGGCCGTCAGGAGGTCACGGGCCACCCCGACAACCGCCTCGCCCCCACTGACAGGTTCTACAACGTGCGCTTCGACAAGGTCCGCATGGCCAGGGACTTCTTCGCCGCTCAGCCGCCCTTCACCACGGCAGAAGGCCACAAGGGCAGAGAAGGGGCGGGTGTGACGGCCTACCACGAGATGCTGACGCTGGCGGAATCGTCGAGTGTTGGTGGTGGTGGTGTGGAGGATGGGCGTGTGGAGGAGATCATCGATAGTAGGGGAACCAGCTGAGTGAGGGCAGGTGTGGCGTCCTCTGGCAGTTGTTTTGCCGCCTCCGCAGTTTGCTGGTGATCCACTCTGACATGGCGCAAGAGAAGGTCACCTGCACGCCGGTGAGGCGGGAGAGCAGCCGCCAGCCAATTGAGTTCACACCTTGAGTGATTGCACGGCGTGTTTGCTCTTCGTTGGTGGCTTATAGACGAACTCATGGCCCGCGCGCCGTGCATGGTGTGTGTACTATGTGACTTATTTAACTGTACAGAACGACAAACAGACAGACACGGGATGAGCCTCTTGTCTGTCCATCAACACAGGCGGTCCATTCTAGCTGCTGTTTCTGCACGGATGCATGGGCCAGGCTGAAGCCCGCTGATACGGTCGGGCCGCCAAGTGCGCCGGAATCAAACGTGATGCGATCCCGACGCACTGTGAAAGCCCGCTCGCAACCGAGGGCTACCAACCATCAGCTCGCGATAGATATCAGCTTGACGCACTGGCAGCCGTCCGGCCAGTCGGACATAACAGGTACACGCCATACACCGCCTGCCCCCCCCCTCTGGCTGTACACGCATAGCAACCACTAGTAGTATATCTATCTAGTCACACAGCGTGCTGTGTATTTGTGGAGCAAGAAACACGCAAGTACCCGCCAATTCACTGTCTCGTCTCTCGCCGCGCAGACAGTGAACAAGACACTAGCTAATATACACTCCTTGCATTGCACCACACGTATGTATACATGTAATAGCGGGCAATACATAGCGAGTGGGTTGCATTGCGGGGGAGGCTTGATTGATGTTATCCACATGAACACACCCATCCACCCGTCCATTTGCTCATCCATCCATCCATTCAGTCGCCCTCAGCCCCGCCCCCGTCAGACACTCTCTTAGCATCGTATCTACATAGCATACAATACAGTACACACAGCACACACGCCGAGGCAAAACAAAACGGACGAAAGGAAAACAAAACTGAACCCCCTTTCTGAGATACACAAGAGACAGAGAGACAGAGAGGGATGCGCGGTGTGAGCGACGCAAGGGGCCAAAACGACGCTGACGCTCTTGTAAGATGTGCTAGCGATACACGACTGGATGACAACACATGGCCCCGTGCGCTGCTCTCTGCCAGGGAGGGCTGTGCTATCTACATGTGTCGACGGTCTCTCAACTGTTGTGCCATAGGGATGGACTAAGCGTATGCATCCCCCTGATGTGTGTGTGGGTGTTTCTCAGCTGACAGCGAAGGAACCGAGCAAGACAGCCAAGCTGAATTGGCCAATCTCATTGGTTATCTGCCGCCAGGCAAGAACCAAACACACCATACCATCAGGAGAGATGCTCTCTCAACCGACAGAAAAAGACGCGTCGAAGACCAAAAACCAGGCGGCAAGGCCATCCCATCGGGTCCCAATGACATCCACTCTCGCCCTACTCATCCATCCTTTCACTCTCTCTCTCCCCTCTCTCCCCTTCCCACCCTCTAATCGACGCCGTCGACTCTCACATGCTATATCTATCTGTCTACGTGTCTACCGCTGGTCAGTGGTCCGCCAGTGTAGCTTGACGAGCGCCACAAAGTCGAACAGCGCGTGGGCGACGCACGCCGTCAGCAGGTCGCCCGAGAGGAAGTAGAAGCCCGCGAAGTAGAAGCCTATCAGGGCGATCAAGAGGCCGTAGACCGGCGAGCGGCCGAAGACGTGGGAGGCGCCGAACACGCAACCGCCTAGCAGCATGCCCAGCGTCTCACTCGACGTCAGCTGACAGTCATTGACACACACACAACACTTTCTCTTTGATGGATGGATGGCGTGCGTGCGCGCGCACCTCTTGGAACCACTGCTGCAGTACGCCTCTGAAGAGCAGTTCCTCGCCGATGCCCGACACGAGAGCCAGCATGAGTGCGGAGGGGATGACCAGCGGGAGGTTGCGCTTCTCGCCGTACAGGGCGGTCGTCATGGCCACCGTGTGCTCACCGCACTCCTCCACTGAATGCACCTTGAAACGACGCGCCCACCTGCACTCACGCACACACACATGCACAGCACAGCACACACGCAGTGCAGGCATCATCACCGGTGGGTGATCTGTCTGTCTGTCTGTCTGTCTGAGTCCTGACTGTACCACCCCACCCACATACCCACCTGAAGAGCCCTTCATCGAAGAGCAGGAGCGGCACGGCGCCCGCCAGCCCGGCCAGCACCCCATTGGCGCTCCAGTGCACATCCAGCAGGATCGCCAGCACCGACGCCAGCGCAAACGACACCGGGATGAGCGTCGCCTGCAGCACCAGTGTCCGCACATACCACTGCACGTTGTTGAGCAAGATGGCTGTCACGGTGGCAGGTGGGCCCTTTAGTGGGTGGGACTCAGTGGCCACTGGTGGTGTTGCTGGGAGGTCACCTTCCCCAGAAGAAGCTGGCACTCGGTGGTCAGGTTGAATCGACACGCCCGTCCCCGAGGGACCATCAGACGCAGACAAGACGTCCCCAATGCTCGGCTGCGGCCGCAGTGTGGAGGTCAGCAGCTTGTGAGCCCTCTGCTGCGGCCTTCTGAGTGTCTGGTTGGTCCTGATGTGCTGCAGACGCGATGGCTGCAGCACAAACACCGGGGCTGTGTCGACGCATGCGGCGCTGACACAGATGCTGCTGATGCTCAGTGGCGCCATGATGGACGCCAACGCCATGGCCCAGCTGACCGGGAGGATCCTGCTGCTGCTCCGCATGACGGGAAGGGCAGACGGGCCGCGATGTTGACGACACGACACTCGATGGCTCAGAGCTTTGGGCTATCTGTGCCGACAGCTGTTCTCGACCTCCTCTCCAGCATGGATACTTGGACAAAGGCTGCTCCGCTCCTTCACTTTTCGCAGAGAGATGAAAGCTCGCGATCGTGAAGAGCGGAGGGGGAGCGGGAGAAGAGGGCCCTTTGAGAGCGTCGCGGGTCCCCCTTGTTGTTTGTGAGCCGGCTGGAGGCAGCTGGGCCTGGCTGGCACTGTGTGCTTTAACCCTGTAGCTCCGGTTGGTCGGGTGTAGCGTTGCGCTCTCACGATGGAGGTCCGCGTGGGAGGCAAGTACCGCCTCGGCCGGAAGATCGGCGGCGGCTCATTCGGAGACATCTATATCGGTAACAGCCGAACACACACACTGGGGCTAATGGGCCAGGGAGGGAGGGAGGCGGGGAGCGACGTGCAGAGGGAGAGGGGCTATGGAGTGTTGGGCGTGTCTGTCAGGAACCAATATCGCTACGGGAGAGGAGGTGGCCATCAAACTGGTGAGAGAAGGCCGACCTAGTGAAGCGACACGCACACGCCAGGCAGCGATGAAAGACAGGACGGGACACAGCCACGGTTGCACAGAGAGAGGACGGGTACGATGCCTCGTTTGCCGGGGTCGTGCGTCGCTCATTTGGTTGTTTTGCTTGTCTGGTGGCGTCTGTCTGTCTGTCTGTCTCGGTGTACCCGTATGTGTGCGTGTGTGCGCGTCAGGAGTCGATCAAGTCCAAGCACCCCCAGCTCCTCTATGAGTCGAAACTGTATAAGATACTCGCGGGCGGCGGTAAGCCATTACCGCCACATCACACACAGGACACGCTTGCAAGATGAAGCCCCCCCTGTGTGATGTGATGCCCCTGTCTGTCTGTCTGTGTCAGTTGGCATTCCGACGGTTCACTGGTACGGCATCGAGGGCGACTACAACGTGATGGTGATTGACCTCCTGGGCCCCTCCCTCGAGGACCTCTTCACCTTCTGCAACCGCAAATTCTCACTCAAAACCGCACTCATGCTCGCCGACCAAATGGTTGGTGCGGACACACATCACATGGGCCACATACATCACATCCACACACCGCACACACACGCACACACATGCCGGCCCGGCCCGCGATTGTTTGGCGTATTATTCATTTATTGTGTTATGTTTGTGTTGGTGTGTGTAGTTGAACCGCATCGAGTACATCCACGCCAAGAACTTCATCCATCGCGATATCAAGCCCGACAACTTCCTCATCGGACTCGGCAAGAAGGCACAGGTACGTACCTGTGTGAGAGAGCGAAAGACAGGAGGAGGGACATACACAGAAGACACGATACGACAAGATCAGCATCATGGCCCTCCCCTCCCCTCCCTCTCTGTCTGCCCTGCTTGTGTGTTGTGTTGTGTGTTGTGTGTCCGTCGATTCGATCGGCCCATCGCATCGCATCCATCGCTCAGGTTGTGTACATCATCGATTTCGGATTGGCCAAGAAGTACCGCGACCCCAAGACGCAGCAGCACATCCCCTACCGCGAAAACAAGAACCTCACCGGCACCGCTCGATACGCATCCATCAACACACACCTCGGAATCGAACAGTCGCGACGGTAAGTAACCACACCTACCAACCAACCAACCGGCCAGACACCACATCACACATGTGTGTCATATTGCGTTGTGTGCGTATGGTATGGTATGGTATGTGTGTAATGCATTCAGCGACGATTTGGAGGCGTTGGGTTACGTGTTGATGTACTTCAACCGTGGGTGTCTGCCGTGGCAGGGGCTCAAGGCCAACTCCAAGAAGGAGAAGTACGAGAAGATCATGGAGAAGAAAATGTCCACGCCCATCGAAATACTCTGCAAACACTTCCCATGTATGATAGATATGCTCACACACAGCACAGCACAGCAGCACTCACACGAGAGGCCGGTGCGGCGCATGTGTGTGTCTTGTCTTGTATTGTGTGGTTTGGTTTGATGGTTTGATGGTTTGATGTGTCGATGTGTTGATGTGTGTGTGTGTGTGTAATACATTGAATAGTCGAGTTCATGACGTATTTGAACTACTGCCGCAGCCTGCGCTTTGAGGACCGCCCGGACTACGCCTACCTGCGCCGCCTCTTCAAGGACCTCTTCTTCCGGGAGGGATACCAATACGACTTCATCTTCGACTGGACCATACTCAACTACGTAAATGAGCATGCAAACAGACAAACAACACAGAGAGAGACGACACACCGCCCACTCTCTCTCTCTCTCTCTCTGCGTGTGTTGATGTGTGTGTATGTGTGTGTCAGCAAAACCACCATGACAAGGACCGCCGCCGCAACACGGCGGACGAGCGGGACAGGCGGGCGCTTCCCAAGGCGTCCGACGAGGAGGAAGTGGCGCGGGCATAGACACACAGACAGATGCTTCCCACACACATATTCACAACACAATACTGATACTGACTGAGATCCTGACTGACTGACTGACTGCTCGGCTGCTCGGCTGCTCGGTTGACCGATCAGCAGACAGACAAACAGGACACACAGGGCGTGGCGTGCATCCTCTCCTCCATTCATCCATTCATGCGTGCGTGCGTATGATATGTGCGCGTGTGCGCGTGTGTGTATGGCGACGGGCAAGCGGACAGGACAGACCGATGCATGCCTGACCCAGCCATTGATTCGTTCGTGTGTGATGGACAGATGGATCGCTCGCTCGCTCGCTCGTCGACTCTCTGCCACTCACTATGCCCACCTACCGGCCCCTCCCGACCCCATCCCACCCCCACACCCCCGAACCTCCCACTCCCCCCTGCCCTGCCCTGTCCTGCCCACCGAGTCTCTCTTTCTTTCTAGACTTTTCGCACAGGCAGGGATGTTTCTTTCCATTCCACCAACAATGCAATGCAATCAATGCACACTGCTGCGTACATGCATGCGTCGATCGACATCATATACGATACGCAGGCATGATGTTTTCCTGGCGGGCGGGGGGGCTGACTGATTGGATTGGGTGAGGGGAGGTGATTGGTGGGTGGCGAGCGGGTGTGGTGGGGCTGTGGGTGGGTGGGTGGTAGGCGGCAAACATTGGTTGGTGTCAGTCTTGTTCGTCTGATTGTCTCTCTCGATGTGTGTCTGCCTTGCCTGCCTGCCAGACGCAGGCAGGCGAGCAGACAGGTTTTTGATGCAATGGCTATATGCGTAGAGAGCGAGCAATGACAGACAGACAGACAGACACGCACCCACCGCCCACTCACCCAGTCACTCGCGTATGTCCGTCCCTTCGCCTCCTCCTGACTGCCTAGTGGTCCCACTGCCTTCTCTTCCTCCTCCTCTTCCCTGGTTTGATTGCACGCATTGTGTGTATGGTGTGGGTGAGCTCGTGTACCATAAAGCGGGTGACCGAGGGAGGGAGGGAGGGAGGGAGACACAAGGGGGCGGACTGATGGGTGTCATGTGTGCGTGGATGGATGGATGGATGTGCGTGGGTGCGTAGTGTGGCCGAGTGAGTGGTGGAATGAGGGAGGGAGGGAGGGGGACCCCGCAACGACTGACTGACTGCCCGCCCTGCCTGCCTGCCTGCCTGCCAGTGGCTCAGCTCTTTTTCATGGCCAGACTGACTGAGTGACTTTCCTTTGCTTGCTGTGAATGTATGTCTGCATTGCAAACCTTCCCACTCGCTCCCCCGCTCCGCTTCCTGCCTGTCTGTCTGTCTGTCTAGCCTAGCCTAGCCTTGGTTGGGTTGCACGTGTGCGTATGTGATGTGCGTGTGTGTCTGTTTGGTGGACTGAAGAGGCGACCAACGGACATGCACGCACCCGTGCTACGTGTGTGCATTCCGAGCCAACCAACCGACAGATCGATCGACTTGCCTGACCTGACCTGACCTGACTGCCTTGCCTTAGCTAACCTGACTTCTTTACTGACTGATAAGAATATCAAATACATACAGCCTTGTGCGCCAACACAACCACGGGAAGCCGCCAACTCACCCACGCTGACAGACCACTCTACCAGTAGTGCTAACAATTCAATTCATCACTACCACACACACAGGTCTCCCACTCGCTAGCTCGCTCAAAACTCACTCACTCTTTTGTGCTCATGCAGAGGGCCACCCACTATGGGAGGGAACACACCCACAGCTAGCTAGCGGCATGATTGCGTGAGGGTGTTGTGTTTCCAGCCATTGGCCGTGAATGAATGTATGGTCCTGGCAACTCTGTCGGTGGTTTAGTTGATTGATGTGTGACAGACACTTTTACAGAGAGAGGGGGGACGGGGAGGGGGAGGGAGAGGCTGGCGCACTACCTAACAGCTGAGGGGAGGGGAGGGGTGGGGAGGGGGCTGGATGGCATAAAGGCGGAGAGCCCGACGAGTCGAGTCATGTGTTTGTCTGCCTGCCTGCCTGCCTGCCTGTGTGGATGTGCCTGCTTGCTTGCCACTTCTTGTTTGTGTCTCTCGTCTATCTCATACATCATGATGAATGAATGACACTGCGCTTTTAACCTGACTGCCTCACTCCCTCACTCAGTTCCTTGCTTCAAGGTGTCTTTCTTACTCGATCACTGGCTATATACGTACTGATTGGATGGATGGATGGTACAGCGCACGACGTACGTAGGCATGGCAGGCACGACGGACAGAACGACGGGCGAGTGAAGTTGAATGACTGCAGCTCTGTGTCTGTCTGGCCGACGCGTGCGTGTGCTGCCCATGACGGACTCCCGTGCTGCCTGCATGGGTGATGATGGGGACCATTTGTCAATACTCCTCAACAACAAACGCATCTCGGAAAACGATGGAGACCCCCAAAGCCGTCTGGCGAGCTTGACCCCAAGAGGCCCCCAGTCTTGAAGGCTTCTCCGATGGGGAACGTGTGTGGCGTACGTCGGCGTGACGTCCGGGATGATTACAACCTCGGCAGGCTCCTCGGACAGGGCGCCTTCGGGTAACAAACATGACTCACATGTGAAGAGGTCCGCCAGGCTGATGGTTGTGTTGTGTGCAGGCAAGTGCGTGAGTGCATCCATCGGACCACACGGGAACTCTTTGCGGTCAAGATTGTGGAGAAGAAGCCGGGGGCCAAGTGGAATCACGCACAGCTGTTCAAGAAGGAGTGCGACTTCCTCGCTGAGCTTGGTGCGCACGACATACTACACAAAGCACACAAAACCTGGTCGTGTTTCCTCATTCATTCAGACCACCCGACCATCATCCGTCTTCACGGCCTCTACGAGGACCACCAGTTCGTCTATGGCGTAAGTTGCAAGACCCGCAGGCAGACCACCACGCGGCGCGGCGCGCACCGGTGTGTGTGTGCTGCCAGGTGATAGACAAGTGTGAGGGCGGGGAGCTGTTGACGTTCATCAAGGAGATGAAGCAGTTCACCGAGCGGGAAGCGGCCAAGATATGTCGGCAGGTGCGCTCCGCCCCAATGTTTATATTGACTGCGCTTTGCCGACCTACTGGGACGATCGACTCTCATATACATGTATGCACGATGTCGGCAGATCCTTGACGCCCTCAAGTACCTCCACTCGCGCAACATCGTGCACCGAGACATCAAGGGCGAGAACTTCCTCCTGCAGAAGAAGAGCATCGACTCCCCCTTAATCATGATCGACTTCGGCATCGCTGCCAAGGTGACGCCCGGGGTGCATCTGGAGGAGACATGCGGCTCGCTCAAGTACCTGGCGCCCGAACTCCTCAAGTGTGTACTGACTGCTATGTGTGCGAACACTTGTGAGACACGTATCGTGGGTCTGTCTCTTCGTTGTGTGCGTCATCGACCAGGAAAAGATACGGCGTGGAGGTCGACCTCTGGGCTGTCGGTAAGGAGGATTCCCCTGTCATTCAGCAGACAGACGATGCATGTATTTCATGTCTGCTTTGTCTCATCTTATGATATCACGCCAGGCGTGTTGATGTATCTGATGCTCTACGGCCGCTACCCATTCATCGGCGAAGACCAAGCCGCCATACTCGTGAGGAATCCACCCATACAGGCAGACATGCACTGACTGACCATCGACCACACCCATCCATCCATCTCCCCCTACATATTCTGCTGCTGGTGCTGCAGAAGGAGATTGAGGGCCACCAGATCGACTGGTCGCTCCACAACATGGAGAAGCCGTACTCAGAGAAGGTAGGTGAATACGCGCCCGGACAAGATGTGCACGCAGCGTCTGCATATGGGGGCATTGCATGTCTGTCTATGTCCTTGTCTCCCTTCCCCTCAGACGATTGATTTCCTCTCCAGCCTTCTCGAGCGGAATCCCGAGAAGCGACTTACGGCTGATGAAGGTACACACACACAATGCATGAGACGAGGACACGGCGGCATTGGGCCTGTGCTATGTATCACAGCGTTGAAGCATCCCTTCATCCGCAAGCTCGCCAGTGGTGGAATAGAGGGCGAGGGGCAGTTCGATCCGCCAACTCGCGAAGCCCCGCAGCCAATGCGCTCGAGCACTAAGGCTTTTTCCGTTGCTGAGGACGTCCTGCAATCCGCCGCGTACGAAGGCAGACAACACACCAGCTATAGCCAGCTCCCATTCTGTCTGCGCGCATTGGTACTTACACAGAGATCAGGCGGCGGCCGCTACCAGGGAGAAGTCACGAACGAAATCCATGGCCGAGAGGGTAAGCATTGTGTAAGCCAGACGTACACCTGGCGTGTGACATCATCAATGGTGGTCTTCCTGTCTGTCGCGATACAACCAACCATCAGGAGGCGCAGGATGTGGAAGAGAAGCTGGAGAAGCTGCAAATGAAGCACGAGAAGAAAGAGGTGGCGGGCAGGAGATCATCTGCATCTCCTACAAGCTCGGGCCGGCGGCAATCGGGGCTGCCTTTGTTCTCGCCCGGCTCGGTGCGGCGGATAAGCATCAAGGACCGCCTCTTTAGGGCCGACACATCAGCTGGGGCGGAGAACCGGCGCCACTCATCAACACCCTCGCGACGAAGGAGCTCCATGATGCAGAGGTTCATTCGTCGCAAGTCTACTTCCACAGTCCACACGATCGACGACAAGAGGCTGAAAGGGGTGTTGGTGTCGGCGAATGGCGAGGAGAATGGCAGGCGGGCAGGTGGGGAAAAGGGGAAGGGGAGGGCTCTCAAGACGGACCTGGCTGGCGAGTTCTGGCCGCTTGAGGGGACGCCTTCCAAGAAGATGGTGCAGGTGGTCTCGCCGGAACACGCGGCGGACAGCCAGCCTCATCAGACGCCAGAAGACTTGCTGAAAGATGCAATGAGCAGAAGATCCTTCACCGCAACAGAGTAGGCGGCCAAGCAGAAAAGACGACATAAAATGCTCCATGTTGTGCGTGTGTCCCGTTGTCATATGTCCGTGTCTCATTGCGAATGTGCAGCGTTGAGGCCCTCGAGGGGGCGGCTGAGAAGGGCCGTGGGAATGGGGACAGTCCGCAGGAGTCCGAGGCTGCGGTCAGTGAGATGGGGACGGTCGCTAAAGAGAAGAAGAAGAAAAAGAAGAAGAGGAAAAAGGAGAATCGGCGCTCGAGCCGTGAGTCGTGTGAGTCGGGAAGTACCAGAGTTGCAGATGAGCCGCTCCGCAGCCTCATGGCATCGCCTGAAAGCCTCCCGGCATCCGGGCGGAGGGGCAGCGAGCCGGGGGCGGTCGGTGAGATGTCGCTCCCAGGCACAGTCGTGAATTGATGTTTATATTCTAGTGTTGGCTTCCCTGTACATGTATTCCCTCCCTTCCTCCCTCTCTCCCTAGGCGCTAGGCAGCTCTCCATTCCGTTTTTTCTCCCACTCCGTTCTCCACGGCACACGTGCTCGACTGCATGCACCCCTTTCATGTGCCTGTCTGCCTGTGTCACCGCATTTACTACATGTATGACTGTGTGCCAATCGCCCAACGGAGCCTGCAGCGAGGGGTTGGCGGTGCAAAGCTCAGCTCTGAGCTCTGGACCACCA